TTAAAATAAATAGAATATCAGTATTTTACCTGATAACATAATTGCGAAAAAATCACCTTTGCAGAGTTTTTTGTTTTTGCTTTTGTCTCAAATCTGACAAACCACAAAAAATACCTCGGCAAATTGGTGATTTGAATATGAAGAGATGTTTTCAAAAAAAGCAAAATACTGAGCCAGAATATTATAACGGGAAGGACTTTTAATGCATTAACGTTCCCAACATTTGAATAATAGAACAAAAATTACGTCATTCAACCAAGCGCTTTGAGATTACCTTAAACAACTAAGCGTCAAGATTGCAAAGGAAGCCGACAGCAAAAATTGAACAAAAGACCTTGAGATACTCTAAGTTGGTACAGATACTCTGACTGATCAAAAAACCATCGCAAATAGTTTCAATCGATATTTCATATCGGAAAATTTGACTTATCCTCTTAACTTCCTGAAAGTTGATAGGACAAAGAATTTCGTGCAGGCATCAAATGCATTAAAGTTAAAAATCTCTTGTTGGAATTATGAGTCTGTCCAAGAGGGGACCGGGTAGGCGTGACACATGCCATCTCACCTAAGTTATTCAAGAATCCACAGTAGTTCGGGTTCCCAGATAATCCCTGGGGTATTAGAGCCCCCACATCAACTCCCTGGGTAAAAGCTAAAATTAGCTGGAAAAATGCACTTCCAACGAATCTCTCACACACTAATAGAATGCGATGGATCTTAATCCTACTTTGTCCAATGGTTGTTTGAACCTTAAGGAACCAAAACCATGAGGTTGGGCTAATTTGATATGACTTCTGCCAATTTAGAGCAGTTAATCATTAACTGTGTCACGCAACTATTCCAAAAAGGAAAAAAATTAGGATTTTTTAATTGCAAATATTTCCAATGAGCAACATTGTATGACGAGAAACATACTATCACAGCAAAGACCTACCTTAACACTAAATTTGTGGGCAAAACATTTTTGGCCTCTGTAAAAGATTCGTGATCATTTCCCTCTAAAATACGTACCTTCTAACGTTAATTTATGCAATTTATGCAATTTTGATAAACTAATGTTTGGTCACTCAATTTCAATTTGAGAATGGGATCACCGACGCTAGTTCTTGTGGTACTAATGTCTAAAAACAACAGATGTATGGCTACTAAGCTAAGAAGTCTCTTATCATAGAAATTGTGTGACGCTGACACAATCTATTGGAAAAAAATGATTCATAAATGTATGTATTTATCATACATCAAACATTACCGAACTGAGTAATGGACGTCGGCAGTTGACAGCGACGTTTGCCAGATGTAATTTACGCAAATGAAACACTTTATATACCTATTATAATTTTACTCGATGCACCATAATTTTGAGAAGACTTTATCCAATTTTAGGTACATTACTGAACAGTTGTTCCTGTTACATTTAACCTTTAATTGAAAAAAACAAAACAAAAAAGGAAAAAAAACTTAGCTCTGACGAGTGAGATTTGCTTCTCAGATGTAAAAGATCTATCAAGATTCCGATTTCTTTAGACTAAGGCAGGGAGAGGTTTCTGAAATTTTTTTTTTTTTTTAATAAAGGGTCTTACTCGGTCCATTTTTGATTATTAGTCCCTTTTAACAGCATAAACGCCTCTTTTTACTCACGCTGAAGCCAATGATTCCATAGGTTACTCACAAGAAGAACATTATCTGACAGTCACTTTTAAAAATCTTTTTGTACCGGTAAGAAGTTTCTAGTTCTCTTCCTTATTTGAAATCTCGTCTCCATCTCTACGGCATTGTTGACGTATTGCTCGTATATTCATCTTCCAAGGAGGCACTTACAACTCCATTCAGGAGATCGGCCTTACTAAAGGCTAATAGCCTGCTTAAATATCTAGCAATTTGGATAAATGAAAGTTATTCCTCCTTGGTGAACAAGTTTTCTCCATTTCCTAATCTTAGACCCTTCATTTTGGATAGCGCACATCCCCAGAGCAGCTCTTTGAGACGCTGCACTGTTATTAAGAACCTGGCCAATAACCAAGTGCTCGTAATTATGAACTTGGCCTTAAAATTCTCCTTAGTTGGTTACCAGGAAACACAGAGAAAATGGTTTGGGATTATGGGCAGGTCATTGCACGTTTCTGTCGCGGTCAACAAGCGCGCGGATGGTGAAGTTGAGGTAGAGCTTTAAGTCCGAGATGGTAATTGTAAAAACGCAGCAGAGGAAATTTTAAAATACGTCGATAGACTACGCCACTGTTGCAAAAAGACTCTTTCCAAAATATGAAGAGGTACAGGATGGTGGGCATCAAAGCTTTGAACAACTTTCCTTTGAATCTTTTGGGACGAGAGCTTGAAAAGTGTAAAATACAGAAAAGAGCTTTTTTTAAATGGGACAGTCTCAAAAACACAGTTCTCCACAATTTCCATCAGAAAAAAATATTTACTTATTTCCTGAGTGGGAGGGCCGGACGGAAAATATTTGAGTCGACGTCATGACGGACCAAGCGCAACGACGTCCGTGCGCCATGACCGAGTGCCAAATTTCTTCCCTTCCGGCTCAAACAAACTCAATCAAAACGAATTTCACTATATATGGCCACTAAGTGTCGAAAATTCGAAAAATTTTTTAAACCTAAATAGGACGCGATAGAGGGGCGCACGCAAAAACCACAAAAAAGCCACAAAAAACGATTCTACAATACATACTTTTTTTAAAAGTTTTTGCAGCAAAACTTAAAGGAAACAGCTTTTACTACGGTTTTCTATGGGATTCAGCCACCTAGCTAGTCATCTAAGGATGTTGGAAGGTTTCATGTGGCAGCATCTCAGCCCCAAGTTGCCATAACTGGTTGGCAAGGGACGTTAAACAACCCACGCACTTTTCGTAAAGAGAAGGGGACGTAGCTCACGCTGTTGTGGTCTTGTCTTGATTCCGAAATTGGGGGCACTTGCAATACTTCCTTCCAATGTTTGTTGCCATACAATGTTGCTCATTGGAGATATTTGCGATTAAAAAACCCTAATTTTTTCCTTTTTTAACTGCTCTAAATTGGCAGAAGTTATATCAAATTACCCCAACTTTAAGGAATTGTTTCCTTAAGGTATCAAACAACCATTGGACAAAATAAGATTAAGATCCACGCATTCTGTTAGTGTGAGAGAGATCCGTTGGAAGGCATTCGATGTGGGGGCTCAAATACCCTAAGGATTAGCCGGGAGCCTGAACCACTGTGGATTCTTGAATAACTTAGTGACTCTCATAAGCTGTGAAAGTTTGAAAGAAATCGGTGAGATGACATGTGTCATGCCTAACTGGTCCTCTCGCGGACAGACTCTTAAAAGCCCATAGAAGCTTCAGCCCCGACGACATTTATCCAGGCAAGAACCTTTAAATGTAGCATTAACTCCCTAGCCTCACCCTTATACTCTTTGTTTAATAATTCATTCAAACTAGGTATCATTCCGAAAGCCGGGAATGTAGCTGCTTGTTTGTTTGTTTAATTTTTGAAAACAGCTCGGTGTTATTCTGCTTTCCATGAAAGGAGCCCAAATCAAATCGGAGAACTACAGACCTCTATTGTCAGTTAATTTTCAAGAGGATCGAAGGGAAGTCTAAGGCTAAGCCCAAGCAGTTGGTTTTATGAAAGAGTGTTCCTGCCTTCCAAAATTACTCAACACTTTCCCACAAAGAGCCCTGAACCAGGCTCTTGCGCAAGCCATTTAAAGTTTTGCGTTTGACCAGGGAGGGAGTTACTTCTATTCATTCTCGGCCAAATACAAACGGGAAATGAACCTTCATGTCCAAATAAAACGGATACGTGTATTCCAGCTCGTGTTCCCTTCATTAAGGCTTTGTTGACAGATTCAGTAAAAGCGAGGATCGAAAAAATAAAACAACATTTATTACATTCGAATTCAACAGCAGTCCTTGTACATATTTAATGTCCTTGGTTAACATACTTCGCAGTTTAGTGTGGTTCTTTCCAAAATATAAAATATATATATGTAAAATATGAGATTTTGGAACCTTGAAATATTATCAATCAGACGACATTCTGAACTATTATAGTAAATTGAAAAAGAGATTATACATTATAAGGACTACGTAACCCGTAAGACACTTTCTTATCATTAGTATGTAATTTTAGAGTAATACATAACTCTGCTCTTCATAAAATCATCAGCTAGGATGAAAAAAAATTACAAGTTAGAGTACAAGCTTTGCGTAAATGACTTACTAGGTAAAGTCCAAATAAACTCATTTGAACGAGTATACAACACCTACATTTGGCTTCGAAAACGAACAAGGCAGAACAAAACATTCCTTTTTGTTCAAGTGTATTGCAATTAAGCTTAAACATTATACCCTTGGAGTCTACCCACTAAAAATACGAAAGCCTATAAATATTGAGAATATGTTGTTACTTATTACTTATTTATACGTCACTAACTCACGTAGACTTTTTAAAAGTTTTCTTTTAGAAAACAACGATATTCATTAAATAGGTTATCAAAATATAATTTAATATTTTTGGCATCTTTTTACAGCTAAATCACCAGTATAACCAATTCCCTGTAGCGCAAAACTTTTTGTTACAAAAGGTATAACATTATTGCCAACAGACCCGTTATACGAAATTGCAGTTGCATTTGTAGTCTATTTTTTTAAACAGTGGAGTTCGTTTATCGAATAATGAACGTTTAATAATCGTTTGAGTCATGATACCGAGTCATTTCTAAACTCTTGATCGCGATGTTTCGACTGCCTCACTGCTGGTCATTTTTAATACTCCGTTCAACAAGTGATAGTGACTAGAAGGTCAGTTATCTAATTAAGCACCTTGAACAGTAATCTCTAAGTTGTCATTTATAAAAATGGAATTTATTTCATGACAAGCGAAACGTAACAGGAGGAACCTGTCAGGTCTCTGTGACTCTGACTTGTTACTTGGTCTACTTTGTAGTGCATCACACAAGTGTTTAAATCCGTTGTCTCCCCCTGAATGTGGCGTTTAAGCTTAACGGGAAAGTTGTGCTCCTCTAACTTCCCAATCAGTACCAGTTAACATTTGAGACAAATATTTTCTGCCTTTATCAGTTACATTCCGATTTCCGTGGTAGTCTAAGCTCCGTAGTTTGCAGTTGGTATCAGTCAAGGCCTTACACAGGTGCTTGATTCCTTCATCTCCAAATTCATTGTTGCTTATGTCTAAACTTGTTAATGTACAGAATCCGTTGGTTAAAGCTCCAGACAATTCTTTGATTCCTCCATCTCCTAATCTAATAAAACCGATTTTCAATTTGGTTAACACACAGTTACTGCTGGTAAGTGCATCACACAAGTGTTTCAATCCGTTGTCTCCAAACTGATTTTTACTGACGTTTAAGCTTGTTAATCTGCAGTTAACGCTGGTTAGCGCGTTACTCAAGAGCACGATTCCTTCGTCTCCAAACCCATTGTCACTGACGTTTAAGTTTGTTAATCTGCAGTTAACGCTGGTTAGCGCGTTACTCAAGAGCACGATTCCTTCGTCTCCTAACCCATTGTCACTGACGTTTAAGTTTGTTAATCTGCAGTTAACGCTGGTTAGCGCGTTACTCAAGAGCACGGTTTCTTCGTCTCCTAACCCATTGTCACTGACGTTTAAGTTTGTTAATCTGCAGTTAACGCTGGTTAGCGCGTTACACAGGTGTTCTAATCCTTGACTTTGTAAATCAATGTTATGCAGTGTCAGGCTGTAAAGTTCACTATGAGGAAGCGCTGTACTCAAGTTCTTCAAACCTTCATCAGATATCCGACTCCTTGGGAGAATTAATCTGGTTACTTTCCAGTCCCTGTTGGTGATCGCTTTACACAGTGTTATCAAATCAGGGTCGTACTCTGTTGGCCACCTATTCAATATGCCTGACCTCGAACTGTATATCACTTCATTAGATACCTCCTCGTCCTCGTCCTCCTCCTCCTCCTCCTCCTCCTCCTCGTCCTCGTTAAGAATTATACCACACCAGTCCCATGGTAGTTTACCTCTGGGTAGCTCATCCGTAAACAGCAGCACCACTTGCCATGCACCTTCCCTGATGTGAATAGTAAGGAATGTTTTCAATTCGTCTTTATCCATTGCTTCTCGTAATTCCTCTAAGGTACGAGGTGATTGGAGTACTAAAGGATTAAAACAAAAGAAATATTAATTTTTACTTGAAAACATTACAGCGAAAAAAACTACCTTTACATTGTTTTTGTCTAAAAACTGACAAAAAATACCTAAACAAATTGGAAACAAAAAAAAATCGAGTCTCCGTGTTTCGACTTATTGTTGAATCATCCCAAGTAAAAGGAAACCAGTTGGGAAAACAAGGAGACGGACAGAATGAACACTAGAGGTCGTACGATACCAAAAACATTAAGCTAAGCCCTTTTTCTTTTTCTTTTCCGAGAAGTCTTAAAATATCAGCAAATCCTTTGCGAAGGTGTAAATCATTGTCATAAATACCATCTTTCCCCTCCCTAGTAATCTAAAACTCTTAGAGTCGAAAATGCGTGCGAGAAAAGTTGCTGTTGTTGTTTTTTTCCAAATCTGGTTTTAAAGTTTCAGAACATTTTCAAGAACACAAGAGAAAAAAATTGTTTTCACTTTGCAAACATAACAACGAAGTATTAGTGTTGATAAATGGAAAGAAATGTCTTTTTCTTGAGAATACGATCATAAAGTACTTAAGTTACACCACATAAGCGACCAGCTTTAACATCAGAATTCTATGCACTTATGGACTGAGTAGTAGGGTCATGTGGGTCCAGCTTGATCTTACTCAGTCAATCAGATTTTTATTCCATGAACGCCACTCTACTCATTCTACTTTCTTCTCGCATGGACGCACGCTTAGCCCCGCAGCTTTTAATGCCCCTGCCAGGGCAACCGCGCATGGCCTTCATAAAGGGATTTATTTATAAATCTTTTCTTTTCTTATTAGGAACGGGCATTAGACAGCGCAGGTCATTTGATGATTATGTAAAGGTACCAGGTCGACTGAGAATGAAAAAAACCCAACAGAAGATCACAAATCTGGGTTAAAAGAAAAATTCCTTGACCATTACACAAACCTAGCATTTCTCAATAATCTTACCATCGAATATAGATAGCTGGACATATGTTTCAAAGCCAATACAAGCTTATTTTAACAATGTTAAGTACCTTGCTTGCGGAAGTGAAGTTTGGCTGACTCATTTAATAAGTAGCTGACATAGTTCTGGAGTTCCTCGGGTAAACTGACATCAAACTTCGCCAGTCCTGATCTAATGGTCGGATACATGGCGTTCTCTAATGCTATCATGAAGGACACAAAAAGACAAACTATTTTAGTACTTAAGGTCACATTCTCAGCTCAGAGAAATTATTAAAATGAGGAACTACTTAAAAGACAACGTAAGAGTCAATGTTGTCATTAACTGTGAAAGATCACGGACAAGCTTGGGGTCAAATTTACATTTACCATTTAAAGATACCACCAACACGTTTTGTCGATCGTTTCCGACATGGAACATTCCTGCAAAAGTTCTTTAATACACGAGCTACACGAGGGTCTCAATGGGGTGATGGCTTTTACGGCTAACGGTTAAAATTTTGGCCATATTAGGGCTAACTTTTTCTTGTTAAGGAGTTTAAAAGAAACATTTCTTTGGTTAACCCTTTGTAATCTAACGTTATAGTTGAGGGAAAAGAGAATTTGTCGAAAATTATCGCCCCATGTCGTTACTTCCAGTGATCTCTAAAGTTCAGGAGCAGAAGATCTTGTATCCTTTTCAACATGGTTTTCAGAAGGGCAAGTCTTGCGTTACTCAGCTTATTGAAGTATTCTATGACATTGGTCATGCACTGGACCGCAAGTTAGAATCAGACATAATTTACTTGGACTTTGCCAAGGCTTTCGATTCTGTGTGCCCGGCAAAGCTCGTGTTGAAGCTAAAAACGTTTGGAATCGATGATCCACCATTCGCCTGGTTTTACTCATACCTAACTGGAAGGCGTCAAAGAGTGGTTATAAATGGAACTTTCAGTAATTGGACTGGCGTTGGGTCAGGTGTATCCTAGGAGTCACTTCGAGGACCGATTCTCTTTTTATTATTTGTAAATGACGTGCCAAATGTAATTAATAGTGTGACGCTGGCTATGTTTGCTGACGATTCTAGATGTTATAGGATCATAAATAATGATGCTGATTTTTCGAAACTGCAGCAGGATTTAGTTTCGCTTACAACTTGGTCCTTGTCAAATGAATTGTATTTTCAGCCTACAAAGTGCAGTAATCTGCGTATATCTAGGAAGCGTATTAGTTCATATCGTAGCTATAGTATAAATGGTATAGATGTGGAGGTTGTCTCAACTGAAAAAGATTTGGGGGTAGTGATCGTAAGTGACACCTCTTGGAAGGATCATATACTCATGATAGTTGCTAAAACAAATAGGTTAATGGGCTTTATTAGAAGGAGCTGCGCAGGAATTGTTGGCAGTGTTCCGCTGTTGCGTCTTCACTGTTCCTTAGTGCGTTCGCACTTTTGCTATTGCACTCAGTTATGGGCACCTTAGTCTGTTATCAGCAATTTATTCTTAGTTGAAAATGTGCAAAGAAGAGCTACACGCTATATACTAAAAAGAAATAGTAGTAACTTATCTTATAAGGATCGCTTAATCAAACTTAAGTTATTGCCGCTTAGTTACTGGCTTGAATATCTCGACTTAGTTTTCTTTTTTAAATGTCTTCATGGTCATATTGATCTTACTCATTCATTTAATTACTATTTTTCCTTTGTTACGAGTCAGACGCGTCAAGCGTGCTCAGGGCTGAACTTAAAGATTAATAAAAATCGTACATCAACATTTCGGGACTTCTATTTTAATAGGATAGTAAATTTGTGGAACAATATACCTAATGATGTTGGGCAGGCTGAGTCTATTGACTCTTTTAAGCGTAAACTTTCTTACCTTTAAAATAATTTGTCCTAAATGTCGCCGGGTAAATACCCTTGTTGCGTGCACTTGTCAAGCAGCCTATTTAGTCTATTTATATTATTAAGTTATTTTAGGAGGGGGTTGGGTTGGAGCTTAAACCTAGTAGGGGACTTATGTCCTATTGTTTTTGCTCCGGTCATGCTTTGTACAAATCCTTAAATAAATAAATAAATAAGTTAAGGATCTTGGAATTCACATCACATCAAATCTATCATGGAGCCTGAAAACAAGGCAAACAGCGTGCTCCGATTTACAGGTCGAACAAAGGGCCCCAGGAATCCTAAATTGTTCTCGAAATTGTACATGAGTTTAGTAAGTCCAATACTCCAGTACTGCTCTCCAGTGTGGTCTCCACACCTCAAAAAGGACTCGGCTATTTAAGAGAAAGTGCGACGCAGAACACCTAAATATGCAATCAGAAACATTGCCCGAGATATGTCATATAAAGAGTGCTTAAAGGTCCTTAAATGGCCAACTCTACATCAGAGAAGATTATTTTCTTCGCTTACCGAGTGCTATAAGACGGCTAACAGTCTTGGGCTACACCCATTGGAGTATTTTACATTTGCGCATGATTTTCGACCATTAAGAACCAACCATCGCCATAAACTTAAACCATTGCCCGCAAAGCTAAACAGTTTTAAGTACTCTTTCTGTGCAAGTATAGTCAATAAATGGAATAATTTACCTAAAATAGTTGCAGAGGCAGAAACTCTGAACATTTTCAAGAGCAGAGTCAGACGCCATTTTACTAATTTTCTAGGAAATTTTGAACTATTTTCCTGTAATTTTTAATTATTTTAGGAGACAAACTTGAAAGGGGTAACCTCTTTTGTTTTCTTTTTACCTTTCATTAAAATTTGAATTGTGAATAAACAGTCATGTTATGTTAAGACTTACGGTTGAAATTCGTCAATTTTTTTACGACTAACGGCAAAATGTTTTCGCTATATTACGGTTAACGGTTAGCCCCATTGAGACCCTCCTACATGTACTACAGTTCACTGACATGCATTAGTACTACATGCACTATTGAAGCAGCAATATGGAAATGCTAATAACCTCTGGTAACGCGATGTGGTCATCGTAACTCTGAGGTGGCTTATACAAAGGCTCCTCAACGTTCGACACACAAACTCAATTTAAAAACTGCATGTGTACACCTTGTTCTGAATTAGAGCACAATTTGACGCTTGCGGGGTCTTAACACATCAAGGTTGTAAATAGATACGATTAAAAATGCCTAACCACTCTGATAGAATGCTAGAGTTGTATTCAAGATTCACGACAGTACCGCGCACTTGATGTGCGTGCAAATCCCGTGCACTGCAAGCACGCACCACGAAACTACGCATAACATGAAACAGTACCTGTAATTTTGCACATGTACCAAAGTTTCTAAGACCAGGATAAGCTTATCCTAAGAAGCCAACTATTTTTTAACACGCGCTAAGAAGAAATTCAATTTTCCTGAGCTTTTGTTTCCTTTCTTTTATTATTTTCTTTTTCTAGTGCAATGTGAGGTTGTCTCCTTAGTACATGACGGCTGATGGCTGGGTTGCCAGGATTTACCACTTGTGAAAACAGCCTCCATCTAGGTGCTGGGTGCCAATGTAGTAATGTAACTTATATCTTAGGCCTCCCATGAGCATTGCAGTTGTTAATAATTAATGCAGAAAAAGACTGCACCTGCAGGAGTTCCGTGGAAAAAGATAATTCGATAAAGAAGTGAGAGTGTTTAATAGCATTCTACTAAAATTGTTTTTTTTCTCTAAAGGTACATTATATATTCACCTTCCATCTTGACTTTCTCAAGTTCCTTGCGTAGTCTATCTACTGTATCAATGGTGTCATAAATGAAACGTAAACTACCTGAGAGAAGAAGTAAACAGCAAAATGGTTTAAGGAATTTTTAAACACCATTCTTGATTGATAACATTATATAAGAAGAGGGGTTATCTTAAATATGGAGTAAATACACATTATTCAATGCTTCAACACGTAATGAGCAGCGCAGATGTTTTTGCAAGTTGCATGCAGGGCTTAGGTATTTGAGAGAAAATAATAGGAGTCCTTTATAACAAACTTAAAGGAAGTGTGTCACCTTTCAGCTTGTTACTTAAAGAATCAAGCCTGAAATACTAGTGTAACTATTTCCTTACATTACTTTCCATATTTCTTTTGCCCTGCTCAACGGAGTTAATACGCATGTTTCACTCAGCTTTCTCTCTTTTTCTTCGTGTAGGATGTTCAAGTTGTTTTAGTTCATCTTCAAGATCAGCAGTAAAGAGTTCAGGGGGAGGCAAAGTACCTGAAAGGAAAGGTAAACAGAGAGATACACTGTATTTAGCATTCAGTGCCTTACCTCGCATAAATGGTTAAAAACAGGCATTTAACAAACACTTCACATTGTACTAGGCTCATGTGAAGAACTGAAAGTATTAGATAACTATCTCACTTAATAATTATAAAGGAAGAGGGATCATCTTTACTAAGGAATAGTTTCCCTTGAAAATGTATAATTTGAATAAGGAGTGGAAGCATTCATCAATAGTAATAAAATCAGATAACAGATTATTTTAAATAAGGAATAATTTTCCTTGAAAAGTGATAATTCGATACGGGGGTGGAAGCCTTTAACGGCATTCTTGGATTTATTTCTTTCTGATAGTGAATCAATAAACATTTTATATTCACCTTCCATTCTGAGCCTCTGAAGCTTCATGCTTAGTTCAGCTAGTTTTTTCTCAAGATCAATGGTTGAAAGTTTAAGGACAGAAAAACTACCTGAGAGCAAAGGTACACAGAAATATATTTAACACTTAGTGCCTCACCTGATATAAAAAGTTAAAGCATGATAACATGTATCGAGGTCAAGTGAAAGAACAATAATGCAAGTTTTCCATTATATCATTGTGAAATAACCTATCTATAAGTAATATTTCATTATCACATGCAACAGCCAATTTGATACTTCCTTTAACTGAAGTTGTGAATTAAGAGACAAAACTGAATTGAAAATATTTTCCTTAACAAAACTAAGTTACTGAATAACAGCTGAGAGCATTTCACAGCATTCTTGGATGAAAGTAAAGACAGAAAAACGCTAATATCTCAGATAGGGAATAATTTCTCTAGAAAAATATGAATTCATTTCATAGCATTGAGCTATTTACATGGCTAAAATATTAAAAAAATATATAAAAAGCAAACATTTTCAACACTAGGTCATCATCACCCTGATGATGACCTGGTTTTGAAAATGTTTGGTTTTTACCTATTCAATATTTTAGCTTATTTTTTAAACCTAAGCAAACTTTATGGACAGTTATTAGCATTCTTGTATCAGTTTCTCCCTAAAAATGACAAGATATGAATTTTTCTATTCACCTTCCATTCTCAGCATCCGAATTTCCTCAAATACTTGATCTAGCTTTTCCTTAAGATCAGCGACGGGGAGAGATGAAGAACCTGAGAGCAAAGGTATACAGAGCTTTTCAAAATTCAGTGTCTGACTTTACACAGAAAAGATAACAACAGATATACTTGTGCAAACAGCAAATTATAGTCATGTTGAAGTAAAACAGTGTTAGATCTTCATTGTAACTCCATGATCATCGTTGAAAACAACCATTAAGTATTTTTACCACAAGCCGACTCAATACCATCTTTAGCTAAAGTAGAGAATGAAACAATGCCAAATTTGGATTAATCTACAGTTGACTCTCGCCCTGCGTACCCCTCACTATTACAGACACCTCGCCACCGCAAACAAGAGCCAGCCCCTAGGGAAAAGCATGAAGAAACGAAATAAATTCCCTTTAAAACGGACTCTTCCTTTTATCGAAATGTAGACACTTTCAAGCCCCACAGCACGACATTTCTCTTGTTCTTTCTCTCGCTATAACAGACACTTAATACTTCATCCAAAATCCTGACAAACATACTATAAAGCGACATTATGAAAAAAGAAAATAAAGAAACCATTCTTCAATTGGGTGTGAACATGAGAATTTCCTGCTTGCGGCCTGATCTTTTTCCCGTTTGTGAGGCCACGTTGGAAACTTTATTTTATCTCTCATACCCCGTTATTACAGACTCTTCGCTATTACAGAAACTAAATCTCCCCGCTAGGGTGTCCGTAGTAATGGAGTCAACCCTCAGGGGTAAGGTACAAAGTGCAACTCATGGTGTTACTTTTAATAGCGACACAATAACAGGTCAAACCAACATGCGATTAACTGATTGTATACGATGTACAAAATCTATCTAAATTACCTCATTGTCGGTTTTTTAAGGCGTAATTTAGGATCAACACCGAAAAAACTTAGTTTATCATTATATACTGTTTCACCATCCTCAGCCTCTACCATCTCAATATTCCCTTCTAGCAAAACACAGAGTGAGGGAAAACTAAATCGGGTGAAATTTCCTTTCAAAAAAATATTTTGAATGAGAACTAAATGTATTTAAAAGCATTCTTGGTTTAGATTTGCCATGAAATTTAATTTAACAGCATATTTTACTTCACCTTTTATCGTTAGAAGTTTCATATAAAGCTTTTCTAGTTTTTCTTCAAGATCAAAGGTGAAAGATCCAGGAAGAGGCAACATGCCTAAAAACAAAGGTATGTAGAGAGATATTACCATTTCTACTAATTAATAGTTGGGAAAAGGCATACCAACTTGCATTTAAAGATACTAGTAGGTACATGTACACTGTAGATTATCTACATTTAAGAACAGAAGCTTTAAAACCGAAAAAAAAAAAACTATTGAGAGCAACTGAAAAAGTAATCACTCTACATGTATGTAACATTTCCTTAATTTATTGCAAGGAAACTCAGCACTACCTTTAACTAGAGAAGAGAATGAGGCAGAAACACATTTCAAATAATTTGCATTGACAAGTATCATTTATCATAATTGCTGACAGAAGCATTCTTGCCTATTAATAACATTAATTTCTATTGTAAAAGAAGACTAAAACCACATTCACGTTCTTTTTTCATTTCTCATTTTTTTTTCCCTGAAGTTTCATAGCTTCACTCCTACAGCTTTTTTGACCAATTTACAAACAGATGAATTCTTCCACTTCTTCAATGTCAATTCATCAAAACAACAAGTCAGTGATTTGCTATGTTGTTTTTTTTTTTCTTGGAGCATGTCAGGGGGAACTGAACCCAAACTGGAACCCATGCTAGACTTCAACACGTCAGCGAAAACAACTGAAAGCAGTAAGCCCCACATCTTTTTATTCATTTCAAGGTGGTTTGATATCAGTTTTAAGGGTAGATCAACTAAATCCACTTAAAAGCGGGTACTTTTCCCAATAACAAAGGGAAAAACTCAACAAACATGAAGAACATTAAATAGTCGATAACTTACAATACAATACAATACAACTTTTTACTTGGCTTACTGGTAGTAGCTGAACATAATGAGCAACATGTTTCAATTACATTAACTTCAAAAATAATTCAAACTGAGCATCCTGTTCACCTTTCCTTCCCCAAGGTTCTTCTAGTTCTTTTCCATGACCAGTGGTCGGTATCACAATGAGGGGTGAAGTACCTAAGGGTAAAAATGCAGAGAGAGATTAGCATTCACAGCTTCTCTTCAGATGTTTTGTTCTCATAATTGGAACTGTGTACAATTATATTAATTAATTGATGCCACATCATTGCACTGAGATAATTCTTCAAGTACTTATAACATAACCGTTATTATTGTTCACAACAGCTTTCCATATAACTTAATATAAGTTTTTTTAAATTTCCTTTTCACCTTCCAATTTCGCTGTCTCCATAATCTTTGTTTGCTGTTCACTTTTTTCCCATTGTTCTTTTGTTAGTGGACTTTCACTGGTTGAACTTGTGGAGTGGAATTCAGAGGATAAAGCACCTAAAATCAGATTTACAAGATGACAAACATTTTGAACCATAAACATACCTCAAACTATTTTTAAAAACACCCAACATGTAAAAACTAGAAATTTTTTCTTTCATAGCCCCTCCAATGAAAATCTTGCAAAAATCTGTTCAGAAGTTTAAAGAAAAATTTTTTCAGTTGACCATTTTGACGACTGACAGTTGAAATTTGTCAATTTTTATGCCTAACGGCTATTTTTTTTTGCCATTTTACGGTTAATGGTTAACTACATTGAGACCCTCCTACATGTACTAAGGTTTACTGACTAAGCAATTATATACATATATATGTGTGTGTGTGTGTGTGCGTGTGTGTGTGTGTGTGTGTGTGTGTGTGTGTGTGTGTGTGTGTGTATTTTGTTAACCAAGCATGAGGTCAAGATGGCTGAATATTGGACCAAGACGAGCTCGAGGTCCATAAAAACACAAAAAGATTTCACTTTATTAAGAATCAAGAATGACTTGTTTATTTCAGGAGCACGGAAAGAAAGCCAACTGTGTTTGTAGCACAATAAACCCACGCGAGTCATTCATGATGTCTTTGTTTTGACAGTCTTCTGTCCCTTTTTTCCACCTCCATCACCGAGATTTGTAAGTCACCTGAGCGCAGTGTTTTTCTTGTGTGGAATCTAAGCGGGCAATCCCAAGGGGGCAGCTTAGATAGTCAATCCCAACACAGGATTCTCTTCATATTACCCACAGGTATGGCCAGCGATAGTATATGGTAAAGTTAATAACGTCAGGTAGCTCATGTGATTATTGTAACTCTAA